TATCGTACTTTTGGGGGGGGGGGGGTGGCTCGGTTAGCCATCGTGTACTGTGGCTGCACTATGACATTTATCTTTGAGTCGGTATACGATCTGTCCTTTACCGCCCGTGAGGTTTTGTCTACATTGCGTCTTTTTTTAGAGTTGAGGTACGTTTGCTGCACCCATCTGACTTGAGAGTAGTAGTGCACTGTAACTAGTATTTCGTTGACCTGAAGTGTGTATGTTTCAATTGGGGATAGAAATAAAGTAAAATGCGGTTGATATCTCAAATGTGCTCTTCCATTACTGCAGACGAAGGCATCCCTTATCGGACTCGTACCGAAGCAGAACCAACATACAGTCAGACGTGTGGAAAGGTGCTACCAGCAACAAACGTCAGCATACACCTCCTACGCCCACATTACAAGCAGCAGCAGTGAATACGTTTGGGAAAAATGACGGTACTAGTATACAGCCTCCGCGCGAACATGTAAGCTATGTTTGTATTGATTTCTATCCGTTGTGTCTTATATGTATGTGCTTACAACGCACAGCTTGTAGCGAACATGCAAATACCATGTGCTGAGGTTCTGTATAAAGCTCTTTCTTTAATTACCGCCTGGTGCGTGTGCATATATGTACGTTTAAGGGATGCTACATGAATGTATGATACGTCCATAGTGAATATATCGCGTTATTTTCAATCTAGGCTTCTTTCGCTCCAGTACAATGTTTGTCTTGCTGCTGATAAGCCTCTAACTCTCATTGTTGGTGCTACAAACTAAGTTGCGTGGAAAGAGTCACGCACAACGGAAAGAGAGAAGAACCCCCGACGTGACCCTGAACGAGGCACCGATGCACACTTCAGATGCCGAGCGTAGAGATCGAAGTCTGACTGATATGGCCAGGATAATCAGGTGAAGGCATTGATCGACTTCAAGATCACGCATACATGTATATTCCATAACAATACATATATACATATATATATATATATATATATATATATGTGTGTGTGTGTGTGTGTGTGT